ATTAATTTCTAATGTTTTTTAAGTATTTATCGTCGGATTAGATTTGATATGATAAAAGTATTCAACTACAAAAGTAAATAATTTTTACTTTATAATTTATTAATTTTTTAAATGTATTTGTGTGTGTTACTACCAGTCTATAACATTACAAATTTGTTTGTATCATGTTACTATATAAATCATTAAACTAAAAAAAAAAAAATGAATTTTAATTCACCTGAATTTAACAATGGATTTTACGATTATCAAATGATAATTCATCAAATGATCACAACTAATAAACTCAATTCAGTAGATTTTTTTAACAACATTTTGATTGGCTTTTTTAGTTAAAGTAAATCATTAAAATTAATTATGTTTTGTATATTTCAATTGTAAAATCTTTTTAAACACCAAAAGTTAATTAGAATTGATTACTATGATTTCTCATAAATTTTTCTATTTAATAATGTAAATTTCAAACTTTCAAGTTGAGCTATTAGTTATAGTAATACATTAATTTTTATTTATTATAAACTTTAAAGAACCAAAAAATGAAGTTAATAATGATATTTTGCACTGATTATTTTTGACATATTAAAAATCAAAATCAGTAATAATTTTAAAACTGTTTTATTTTGGTTTTAATTATTTCTTTATATGTAAATACTCAATTTTTAAAAATTAGTAATAATATCAAAACTTAGAAGTGATAAAAAAAGTCTAATTGCAGGTTTGAAAACAGCGCGAAAGGTTTGATTTAGAAAAGTATTTATAAACCGCGTCTTTAAGTAATTTGAACTTCATATAATGTATTCATTTATGTAGTTATCATCAAAATATACTTTAACACGGCTCCCCCGTCACTTCCTGGTACACGACGCCCCGCAAGTCGTGCCACCTTTATCAGCCGTCGCCCTTCTATGAGTATTTGATTAACCAACATCGCGTGCCATACGCCACTGTGCAAAGTCTAGCAAGTGCCGCACGCCCGACGACATTCCGCCACAAATGATACGTTGACTCTTCTTCCCGTTGCTGAGTGACAACGTCGAGGATGTATGCCACCGGCTCCGAACGTGTCGCACGACCAGACTCGATGAACCGATCCACACCAGCGCATCATCGTCATCAACGCTGCTAACTTTTTGACGTCCAAAGATTATGCCGGACACCGCGTCGCCGATGCCAGCGAATGTGGAACGATATCATGCGCAGATTATTATTGACTATGTTGGTCTTTTCGGTTTGTTTGTTTTTAAATAACCTGTTGTTGCTTACTAATAAACGGCCCACGGGTCTCTACCCCAAGTATCGAGTGTCAACTACATTATTGCAACGTAAGTCGTGTCAAATTTATAATTCATTTTAAGATTATCTTTATTAAAGTCATTTTTTCAGTTTTTAATTAATTGTCGATTGACGCATTAATGATCAATTTTTTATTTTAGCCGTGTTTCACCAATAAATCATAGATAGATTTTTTATTTTAACTGATCTATGATTATTATATTACAATAATTATTGAAATATTTTATAACCATTATATGTTAAGATAGCCCAATATACTGTTTTCAGATAATATTATTATTTAACACCTGTTAATTAAAATTACTGAGTAATTAAAAATCAGGTACTGACGCTTACGGCGATATCTTGTTATGTCAGCATTTAATTTGATAAGAAAATAGAGAAAAGTAAATAAAAGCATCAAATGGAAAGTTTTTAAGCATTATTTACTGTTTATAACAAATAGTTAAAAAAAAAATTTGATTTATGGAAAGTTATTTTTTTATGGAGGGCTTATTGTCATCCTATACGAGTAATTCCACCTAACATTTTTTTGAAAATATTTCACATATTAGTTATAAGTTAAGAAATTTATTTGATAAAATATAATAGACATAAATAATATAAATATAGTTAAAAAAAACTAAAAACACGCTTTTAAAGCATATCAAACTAGAAAGTTAAAAATAATTTTTAAAATAAGCTTAAAACTGTAGCGTGATATCACATATCACCTACTGCTACTCCCTGATAAGAGAAAAAAGGTTATGTTACGTTCTCTATGGTGTCAGTCATATTATATATTTTAATTGTATATTTTATTTTTTATAGTGCGTTATAATAAATTATATTAATAACAAACGCTATAAAACAATAATGAACGAAAAATACTAGTATTATTTTGAAAAAGTGTCGGGCGCTCAATGTACGAAAAATATGGCACTAAGCCCCCACTATAATAATAAATAATAAAAATTTGTTTATATATATAATATTGATGATACGCACGCATGTTCGGGTACGAAAACCAAAAATAAAATTATACAATAATAGAGTGGAGAGCGGGATGGGGTGAATGCGTTACGACAATCTAGTCTCAATTCCATAGACGACGGGATACGCGAGTATAATAACACGTGGAGAGTTACAAATAAACAAACAAACAAACAAACAAACAAGTGAAACTAATAAAGCGTGTTAATAAAATAATATTTACCTTCGTTAAATATCAAACATGAAATTATCATTAAAAAATATATCAATTGCCAGTTCTTAAATAAAATAAAATTATCTTTTAGATTTCAATAAAATAATTCATATAAAATGATTATAAAGATTATTCACCTCCATTTTACACCTCTTAATTTTACTTAAAAATTATGTTCTGAATAACTAATGGCAATTTTTTATTTAAATAGGTGTATTCATAAAAAAGTTATCTGACATAATAAATTATTTTATGATATTTTTCGATTTAAAAACATTATTTACTTAATTGTTTTAGTCAATCTATTCATATACATGTAAAAAAAAATGTTGATTTGGTATATTTTTTTTGAAAATCTGACTATTAACCTGTTCACAAAATAGCAACTTTATTAATCTCAGAAATACTCTGAGCTTCAATTATCTGTCAAATTAAAACTTATATTACTCACTTAAAATTAAAAAATACATTTTCCAGACTACTTGTATGCTATCTGTAAATAGTACGTGAAGTTAGAGAGAAATGCCGTTTGTATAAAAATTTCACCGTTTTTTGTGTTATTATAATTTTTTATGCTTATATTTTAAGTAAAACGGTATTGTCTTAAAGAAAGGGGATGGTACCTCATTTAACCATTCTTTCTTTTACAAAAAAAAAAAAAAATAAATAATAAAAAAATTTAAGAGTGAATTATCAATTATTTACATCTTTAATGTAAATCCAATAATTGTTTTAAAAAGAAGTGACCTGCCATTTCAAAAAAAAATGTTTGAGCTTCCAATAGTTTATGATAAATTACAATTTTAATTTTGAGACTTAATACTCAAACTTTAGCACTTCTCTTGTAAGCAACAGATTTTTAGAGAAAACGGAAATATTTAATTAGTCCCCACTTAAACTATCAACTTTATTAATTTTAATCAAGTTACTAAAAAAAAAAAAAAATTTTAAATTATGTATTTATAAATAGACGAAAAAAACCCAGCCTGTGGGATCGCTACACTGTGGGGTCGTGGCACAATGTGGACGTGGCATAGTTGGGACAAGTATAGATGATATCTGTCAGTGAATAAAATCACCAGTGGTGGCGGTGCGACTTTAAATATAATATTGCTAATTATAGGTATAAAAAATTGTCAAATTAAATATAATAAAATAAAACACATACTATTATTTTAAAGTTCACAGTAAAAAATAGAAATGAAAATAATAATAATAGCGATTATACTATTATAGCAACCGATAACGACGAGCGTACATGTAGTTAATTCTAAAAATAAATTACCCAATATAGTAATATTTTACTGTACGGACGACACAGCCGGTCGTTCAAAACCCGTACATAAGATTGCATGATAAAACAGTCCCGCACGTCGCGATTGAGCATCTCGTTTATTATATACTTTTTAAAATATTGTACGGACAACGCTACCAAGGGAAACAATTTTAATGTTCGCACACGACATGTATATTATAACTATTTTACTGTTTAAAAATTTGTATTTTTAATAAAAATGTAGAATTAAGAATATAAAATTAATTTTCTATTTTTAATTAATTTTAGTAGGGCGCGCGATCATCCCGTCGTCCAAGCCACGAGCCTCCACTGAAAATCACAACCATAAGAACGCTTCGATGCAAATCTGTAGATAGATAGTGTTTAATTTTAATAGTTTTTTGATCACATATAAATTAAGAATATTAAAGGATTTCTTATAATGTTTGGTGATTATAAGTTCAACAAGATTAAAATTATAACGTATTGATCATTAAAATTGGTCAAGTGAGAGCTGAGAAAAATTAACGTCAGACACAAAAATAAACTATATAGTAATATTTGAGGCGCATAGAGCCAAAACAGCCTAACCCACAAAAAATCAAATTCTGTTTTATATGATAAAACGTTTCAAATTGATATAATATTTGAAATCCATTATGGTCTATCCCNATTTTAAATGTATCTATCCGTAAGTATTACTTAATTTACTTAAAAAATCATTATTAATTATCGAATCACTGAATAATAATGAAGACATGTCAATGATCGAACAGTAATTAATAATATTAAAAGTAATATTATTTGTTCAGTCATATTTCTTAGTGACATAGTGAAATATAATGATAAATTATGCATAATACAATATATTGAAGAATTAAGAAATTTTGGCGTATGCAACCATGTGTCAGATCGTTGTTGACAAGTGATTAACTGATAAATAAATAAATATTAAATCAATTTAAAGTATTTAAAACAGATGTAACTCTAATCAATGTATCTAAATGAAAAATTATATATATTTTTTTTTATAAANCCATCTAAATTATTCACTAGATGGCATTACATAAATTGTTTTTGGCACTGTGATTATGAAATATAATTTCAGAACTATAGTGGGTGGCCCAACCCTTAGCTAGTGGATTAGGCCATCTGAATTTTAGTGAGTTATACTGTTAAAAGCTTTTTTTATTTTATTTTGTTAGGTNTCAATGTATCTAAATGAAAAATTATATATTTTTTTTTTTATAGATAAAATAATGATAATTTGTAAAAAAAACGAATTCAAGTTTTTGTTCTAATAATTGATTCTAAGTATAATTTTAGGAATTAAAAATTCATGTCTTACATACTATATTAATTAAAATCTGTTGTTTGTTGATTGCAAAGTTAGGACACTAATAATTAGTGTCTTATGTAATTTATTACATTTAAAACAACTACTAGTAAGACAATATTGTATTAATACAAAAAAGAACATTAATCGTGTGAAAAACATAATGAATAATANGTTTAGTAACAATCATAATATTGTTTATTAATATTATTCAATACTGAAGACTGTAATATGTAATAATAATGTTAAAAATGTATAAATACCAAATTTTCAAGTTAATCAAATTTATTAAAAGTAAAATATTATTAACTAAACTATTATTACACACTATTAAAAGTGATTTTATTTTTTTGTTTTGTTAAGTTTAGTAACAATCTCATTGTTAATTTACTTTCGTGACCTAAATAATTAAAAATAAACTATGATAAAATAAATATACATAAATAATAATTTTACATATTTTTATTAATACATGTAAACAGACTAAACATTTAAATTCAAATAAATAATAGTAAAAGATTTACACGAGTAAATTACTATTTTTTTTTTCAATTACTATTATTCATTATGTTTTTCACACGATTAATGTTCATTTTTGTATTAATACAATATTGTCTTACTAGTAGTTGTTTTAAATGTAATAAACCAAAACCAATGCTTGAACCAGAGTAAAACCAGAACTAGAAGCAAAAGCAAAAACCAGAAGCAAAATCCGATGAAATTGATAAACTTAATAAAATTATTGAATCAGAAGGATGGAAATCTATAAAATGTATGTGGTGAAGTTGTAAAAACAACGAATATGATTTAAATATAAAACAAAGTACATCTCTTTCTTTTGCCGAACGTATCTCTGAAGTGGATTTGAACATGAAAAAATGTTATGCTTTAATAGTATTTAGTGCTCTTTACAATGATGTGCTACTGGATATAAATGGAATTATATGGATATATTTAAAATTCACCAAAAACTGAAATAGTCTTTTGATAAACGAGAAATAATAAAAAGTTATGTTAAATTTTAACTATTAATAACTTGTATGGCTAATGCAATAGAATATTTTAAATGTATCTATACGTAAGTATTACTCAATTTACTTAAAAAATCATTATTAATTATCGAATCACTGAATAATAATGAAGACATGTCAATGATCGAACGTAATTAATAATATTAAAAGTAATATTATTTGTTCAGTCATATTTCTTAGTGACAGTGAAATATAATGATAAATTATGCATAATACAATAAATTGAAGAATTAAGAAATTTTGGCGTATGCAACCATGTGTCAGATCGTTGTTGACAAGTGATTAACTGTTAAATAAATAAATATTAAATCAATTTAAAGTATTTAAAACAGATGTAACTCTAATCAATGTATCTAAATGAAAAATTATATATTTTTTTTTTTATAGATAAAATAATGATAATTTGTAAAAAAAACGAATTCAAGTTTTTGTTCTAATAATTGATTCTAAGTATAATTTTAGGAATTAAAAATTCATGTCTTACATACTATATTAATTAAAATCTGTTGTTTGTTGATTGCAAAGTTAGGACACTAATAATTAGTGTCTTATGTAATTTATTACATTTAAAACAACTACTAGTAAGACAATATTGTATTAATACAAAAAAGAACATTAATCGTGTGAAAAACATAATGAATAATAGTAATTAAAAAAAAAATAGTAATTTACTCGTGTAAATCTTATATTATTATTTATTTGAATTTATATGTTTAGTCTGTTTACATGTATTAATAAAAATATGTAAAATTATTATTTATGTATATTTATTTTATTATCATTTATTTTTAATTATTTAGGTCACGAAAGTAAATTTGTGTTAGAAAAATTTTATTTGTCGTACAGTACAATAATAAAATTATACTTGTCGAATAAAATTTTTTCTAACTTCTTACCCCAACTCTATTTCAGAAATTTATTTATAAATGAAGTATTATCGTATGCTCCACTGAACGACTGAACAAACACACACATCAGTTTAGACTCAATAATAAAACTTTATCTAACTTCTAATTCCAACTCGTAATTAGAGGTTTACTTATAATATAATACTTATAAAGTATTATTATCATGAAAAAGAAATCGCATATTGTCACCAGTAAATAACGTAATATTATAGAATTTACTTCCGTCCTTTACATAATATGGACTAAAATTTGATATCATAGAAAAATCGTAAAAAAATTCAAAGTTGAGCAACTTTAAAATGCTATAGAAACTAAAGTCTGAATCAAAATAATAGTTTTTGGTAACAAGATTTTTCTTTAAATCTTATATATATATCTTCAAAGTATTATAACGACTGTCCTCGACAAAAGTACGCAAATAGTTTGAGTATACGAGATAACCAAGATAGTCAAAAAGATAATTTCTCAGTTTAGTAATATCTAACTAATAAATAAAAAAGTGAATGATTTCTCTTTATTTAGAAGTGGGGATGATGATGAAGGTTCAGACATATGAGGGAAAAAATAAATAATTTAATAAACTAAAATTATTACACATAATTTTTTTAATAATAATACATATAAGTCATCATACTTAATAATTTCTAAAAAAAATTGTATCATATCAACGATTAGGAGGAATAAAATTAAAATGGTTCTCATTAAAATTTCAAAGATCGATATTTTTGATCCACCCTAATTTGTATAAATTTAGTCATCACCGAGTAATGAATCAGATACGTTGTGCTGTTATACCGGCCCATCTGTATTCTATTCAAGACGTTTGATGCGAGTTATTGTGAGTATTGTTTCATTGGGAAATAAACTGCCATTATAATAAGCATTTGGCTAAGTGGAAAATTGGAGAATTTAAGAACAAATGAATCCACTTTGTCTAAAACATAAAATAAGATACAACAACTATAACTATTTCTTTCAACTAACAGATTGTTATTGCTACTTAAGCAACAGTTATTTTTTCCCATCACTAGTTATAAAAATCATTAACATTTTTTTTATTTCACAAAAAACTGGAAATATAAACATTTATGTACATAGATTCTACGTATAATGCAATTTGTTATTTAAAATATTGAAAAATGTGTATTATCATTAAGAGTGTGTAAGATATAAACATTCATAAAGGTTTGATGTAAGTTATAAATAAATATTAAATTCTTTAAAAATATATATATATATATATATATATATATATATATAAAACTTTGTGCTATTAAATGAATAAGTAAATTTTTAATAGAAACTTACTTAGTTTGGATGCCATTAAATCCAGAGCTTTCCAAGAGAACTTTTCACTTCAAAAACTTTGAAGCTCTAGATTTTAAGCCAATTTTTCATTTGTTTGTACAAGCAATTGAAAAATTTATGCTATTACTGAAGTCAACTGTCCACAATGGTCTTTGGGTATAGTTTTAGATTATTAACTAATTTCAAAATAATTATTTTTTATTGCTAATTCATCAGTTGCTAGTAGTGGATGCATAATCTGTTTTATAATATTTTTTACAATAATGGTAGTGTGACACCATCATAGCTTAATATTTTATAAAGAATATAAATTCAATATATGAATATACAAATCACTTAAATAATATTTTTATTTACAAGTAAAATAAATGACGGATCGAATAATAAACTAAAGATAATTTATTCTATTTTTTACTAATGACATGTTTCTATTACTCATATATAAATCAAACATAAAAAAAAATGGAGTAACATCACCCAGCCATTTGACACATCCTCCGCCGTGTGATATTGCAATGCTTTGAGATCTCCACAACAAATACTTCTTGGTCGACGTTAACAATGCTGAGTGCCTCGAATAATTTTACAGTGACGGGACGCACAAACACGCCCAACAACAGAAAAAAACACCACCGGTGTGTGGACACCAAGAACACCAACTCCAAATATGGATTGAGTATTTAATAACCATACGTTGGGGCTTCGCCTATACACAAACCCAACAAAAGAAAACAATGCCAGATCAGTGGCTACGAGTCATTGGACTTAACGGTACGATATAACGTCAACCGTGGACACAAACGTAATGACAGCCGGGCACGACTGTTATGATTACCATGAGAGGGATAATGAGCGATTTCAAGCTATGTGGAGCTTGACCGGGTTACACACATAACTTTTGAACAAATAAAATGCCAATAAATTAAATATTAATATATTTTATATTAAAATAGTTACACAAAGTCCTTTTATACATAAAGTTTTTCAATGATAATATTATTACATGACAAAAATTATTTTTTACCTGATTTTTTTATTCCTCCGCCAACTAAAGGTCCTTTTTGAGAAGCTTTAGCTTTAAGATCTTTTAAAACTTTTTCTTGTTCTTTAATTTTTTCTTTCATTTTTAAATCACCTTCATCCAACTTTCTGGTTTCTTTCTTTGGATTCTTTAATGGCTATTTTTTCCACCTTCTCGTTCTGACATTTCTCTGTAAACATAATAATTACTCAAAAGGTGTTATTTATAAAAGATTATGATTAGAATTTTTAGAAGGTTATAGACATTTGATGAAACATGGGATTTATTGTATGAATAATTTGTTGATAATTTTCTATACTTTATAAGACAATAAGAATTATAATACATTTTGAATATTGTTAAGCCAATTTTTTTTAAATAAAAATCTAAGACATGTATGTTGAGTAAAATATTACAAGATACTATAAGTATGAGTATAATGATTAAATTTAACTAATAGGAAATATCATTGAATGTGTAAAATTTATTTAAATTAACACTATTGAAAATATATTCGATTGTTTATTAATTACACAATGAAAAAATATTTGAATTAGTTAATATATTTTCAAATTTATAGATGATTTATTTTTCATTCATTACTAAATTTTTCCTGAAATAATTATAATATTATAAAAAATTTTTTTTGGCTTATTTAATTAGTATTTATTTCTTGATGTATAAGTGATTAAATTATTTTAAGGTTCATCACTTATCCCTTGTAAAGGATTTTACTTAATTTTTTTGAAATGGTAATAGTTATTATAATAGACTAAATGATTGGAAATGACTGATTAATAACAACTTTTGAACTGTATTTCAGAAGTTACTAACATTTCTCAATGTAGAGACAAGATGTAGATTATGTTATTTTTATCATTGCATATTTCTCTGCACCTCTTCCTCTTACCTAGTTATAAAAACGTTCATAATTTTTGAAATAATGATTCAAAAGTTGTATCAACCATTTCTTATTTGGATTATTTTAGCAAGTTGATAAAAATTTATAAAATATATATGTTGCCATTGAAAAAAATAAAGTTGGTTTCTTATAAAGAATAAGGAGTAGAACTTAAAAAAATTAACCAAATTATAAACGAAGAAATAATTATTATTTAAGAAATCTAGTGGTCAATGATAAATTAATGACTTGTGTTTATTATGAAGTTTTGAAAAAAGAAGAAATATTTATGAAAATTATCATTAAATCTAACAGCTGTGAAATGTATCAAATATTTAAAAATTATTTGACATTACACGTGATGTTTAACCAATTGGTTTTAAACTTTTTATCTTCAAATATATACTCAATGACAGTTTTAGGAATATAAGAATAAATAACATAAATTAATAAAAATTTTATTATACTTTTGAATTTAATCTTACCTGAATAATCTATAAGAAATTATTTACTAATAAAAATTTTAGATACAACTTAGTTCAACATTTGTCAACTCTGAAGTTTGAAGATGCGTGTGAAACTACCAATTTCTGATACATCAACTTCTTAGCACTGATGATTTGAGGTAACACAATGGTAACCATATACACAATTCTTCCACAAGAGGTCGCAGTATAATATTAATATTCATGCTAGGTAAGTGTCTTCTTATATTCTTTAAATATTATATCATAGAAAATTTTATAAGCTTCCTGAATTTGGATAGAAAATACGTGGACTCGTCTCGGAACATTGTTAAAACGCAAATTACTGTTGTCTTTTAAGAGCTACCAAGCGTAATTTCCGCCGTTTTTATTTTGCAAAATTAGGTTAGTCTGACATATTTCACCACTTAGCTTTTAATATTAATTACAGAACAGTTTATAAGATTTCTAAATATTTCTATAAATATCCAGAAAACTTATTAAATTTATTATTGTTTTTATTAAAATTATAATATTTTTTTTTAGCAAAATTATTATTGTTTGTGAAAAAAGTATTGACTGTACTGTATTGTTTTTGTGTTAACTAGAATTTTAGTGTATTACCTAATGACTTTAAATAGCATTTATGTAGTGCGATATTATATTATTTTTACATGTCAGTATTGCTAAGCAGTTATTGAAAGGTATTCCTACTCTGATTTACGCTAAATAGTTCTTAGACTTTTTAACATTTTTAACACGCTTATATTAGTTTCACATGTATGTTGTTTGTTGTATGTTTGTAACTCCACGCGGCACGTGTNTTGTTTGTATGTTGTAAGTTTGTAACTCCACGCGGCACGTGTTATTATGTCGCGTATCCCGTCGTCTATGACCTTGAGACTAGACCGTCGTAACGCATTCACCCCACCCCACTCACCAGCAACAATATTTTCCTGTATATTTTTAACACGCTTATATTAGTTTCACGTGTATGTTGTTTGTTGTTTGTCGTTTGTTGTTTGTCGTTTGTAAGTTTGTAACTCCACGCGGCACGTGTTATTATGTCGCGTATCCCGTCGTGTATGACCTTGAGACTATACTGTTGTAACGCATTCGCCCCACCCCGCTCACCACTCGTAGACAACAATATTTTCTAACCCGTAGACGCGCGCGTGTCATCAATTATGTATATATATAACAAATTTTTATTGTAATTGACACGGCCCGCGTCGTTTCATTATACACAATGCCCCACGACTCGTGCCACCTTTATCAGCCGTCGCCCTATTATGAGTATTTGACTGACCAACACCTCGCGTTATACGCCGCTGTGCAAAGTCCAGCAAGCGCCGCACGCCCGACGACATTCCGCCGCAAATGATACCGTAGTCTTCTTCCCGTTGTCAAAGTGACAACGTCTACGATTCGATCCGCACTCGCGCGCCGTCGCTATCAACGCTGCTAACCTGTTGACGTCCGAGGAACACCGCCGGACAACGCGTCGTCGATGCCAGCGAAAGTGCCGCGATATTATGCGAAGATTATATATTCCTACCGCCACCGCTAATATTAATATATATATATATATATTAATATTTGTACGTATATACGTATATGTTAATATTCATTTATATATTCCTACAGCCGACGCCTCTGCTGCCGTATATGCCTCGTGTATAATGTTCCCTCCGCCATGCCCGCCCACATAAACACGGCTATATCTCATGCATGATACGTTTACGTACTTAAGTCCCTTTAAATATATATATATTTTCTAATTACTATTAAAACTTATATATTAATACACTTTATTCTCATTAAGAGATATGTAGTGTATTCATTCCGATTACGGAGGATGATTCTCGTATCGTTATTTTTCGTCACTACCTCCACGTTACGCGCCTGCTGCTTTCCTTGGATGTGGTAGCCGTTTCTTAGACTCCCTCTCCGGAATCGAACCCTTATTTCCCGTTACCCGTTACAACCATGATATTGATATTAACTACTATCATAACATGAAACTAAAAAGTGAAAAATAAATATAGTTTAAAAAAACTAAAAAACACGCTTTTAAAGCACATCGAACTAAAAAGTTAAAAATAATTTTTAAAATTAACTTAAAACAATAATGAACGAAAAATACTAGTATTATTGTGAAAAAAAGCGTGGGTGCTTTATGCCATATTTTTTGTATATTGAGCGCCTGACGCTTTTTTCACAATTATACTAGTACTTTTCGTTCATTATTGTTTTAAGCTTATTTTAAAAATTATTTTGAACTTTTTAGTTCGATGTGCTTTAAAAAAGCGTGTTTTTTTAGTTTTTTTAAACTATATTTATTTCTTGCGTTTTTATTTTGTTACTGCGCGTCTTAGACTTTTTTTATTGGTTTCCTACGCTATTTCGTTCAATTATGTAAGTTTCTTGCTGGGTATAATTTTTTTGTCTTCGTTTTAGTATTTAAAATATATTAATAAACATAAAATTCAATGTTATTAGACATTACTCTAATCTTTAAAATTAATTTTTCTTTTTTTTTAATAATTGTATTTTCCATTAAATATAAACTTTATTTTTACATAATATTTAAAGTTAATGTTAAAAAAGGCCACTTTTTTGATAATAACAGTATTAGTTCGCTTTATTAGTAACAATTGCATTTTTTTAAGTAATATTTGTTCTTTTTTTATTTATAATGACCATTTATTTTCTCTATATTTTTACACTCGTTAATATTTATTTGGCATATAATATAAAAGTAAATTCTCCCTTTTAATCTCGTGTATCGCGCGTTTTTATTTCACCTTTAAGTAACGGAATCTGAATGAATAGGACTTACCGAAATAAATTGATAATCGATAAGTAGAAAAAAATGATGCAATTATAAAATATATGTTATAATTATGTTACCATAGCGTATATCGTATTAGATCGAATAAAGTAATGTAATATTGCCATAAAATATGTTGGACTTGCCTGATATAATGATAATTATGCATTTATCGGATTTACTGACAAGAAAATAAAAAATAATAATCTTGACACAGTAAAAATAATTGGGATCTAACCAAATAAATAATGAAATATGCCAAAAAGTAAATGGGGTTTACCGAAAATAATAATAAATATATTATTTAACAGGCAATGCTGTAATGTGACTGGGGCGTCCCAAAATATATAATAAAATAATACTATATCCATCAATAGTAATAGGCATTATAATTTCTAGCTAGAATATTCCTACCCATTAACATTGATGTGTCGGTGATCAAGTCGCTACACGAAGATGTTATAGTCATCAGCGTGGATGTTCTATAAAGAATAGTAATAACGAAGTGTCTTAAAAGTATGACAAATGTCAAGGAAATAGTCTTGACAATGACCTGAGATGGTGGAAAGGGGCTATGGCAAAAAGGCAACCTGGTGTATGCAATGTATATACTTGAGAAATTAATATTTGACCTGATTTTAAAAATTAAACAAGGGAAATCAGGTTTGGAAATCTTGAAATAAATATAATATATAATCTAGCAATACACGAGTAGGTATACAATGATAATATTTTTTTCAAAATATAGCAATATTTATAACATTGTAATTGGCAGGAAGAAGGATCGAAACGTAGTCCATAATTTAAAAATAGAGAGGCATGTGATGACAAAAAAAGTCTTCGATATAATTATTAAGATGACCCTTCCCACGGAAAATGACTCTATTTGCATTATTAATTAATGTATTTTAATTTAAGTAGTTCTAAGCAAATTTTAAAATATAAGATTATAAGATTTTTGGGAAAATCTTCCAATTTCATATAAATTTGACTCAATTGGTATAATATTTAGTTATAAAATGTATAATAAACTGTTTATTTTGCTAAATTTATTAAAAATGGAAATGTGTTTGAAAATTTTGTCTATACTCATTATAATAATTTATTTATGGTACCTGAGTATAGGTTAATCAAGTTAATTATAAATAATATATTAATTTATAAATATTATATTATGTATAATTTCAATAATTTTCATGCCGTGAGAAATAATGGCCGACGCCGTGTGGGGTCATTATCATTTTCTATGATAAGTATATCTTCAAACATTATAAAAAGTAACTTAATATTATACCAAAAATATGCAATTGTTACAATAAATGTAACACAAGAGCCAGCAAAAATACTCATTTTACAATACATTAATTTAAAAATCCAAATGTTATTTTGTCTTCTGTGTTGAATTTTGACTTTTTTCATAAAAGAAGTTGTCAAACTTTTCAATAAGTTTACCTAAAATTATGAGTATTTTTTAAATGAAAAATTTGTAACTACTAAAGCAATGAGAGACATTATTGGAAAATGATGAAAAATTATGGCTGGTTCTCTTATATTGTAGTATAAAATTATATTCAGTTAAGTAAATACTATCTTTGTAAGTAAACCTGCCAAAATTAAACATGTTAAATAACTAACAAACAGAATATTTTACTTACTAAGTCTCGGGGATGGTGTTCTTTTAAACACAGCATCCGACATACTCTTAAAAGGAAATGTTCTGTATATGTCGTAAGGACTGGATGAAGTCTTTTTCAAATTAATCTTTTCGTCTGTATATCCATGTTCAGTTTTCAACAAAGAATTAGGTTTTTTCTTCATGTAGCTTCCCTTAATAACCTGCTGTAAATCATTCTTTTGATTTTGTCGCATATTTAATTGTGTCTTCATCTTATCACATTGAATTTCAAAACCATGTGTCTTTTTCAACACAGGGCTGTTGTGTTCGTCATTCGATAATAAATTTAGACTTTCATCATAAAAGTACTTGTTATACATTTCAATTAGTTTACCTAAAATATTTAATACGTTAAAGTAATAATTTAATAGTTTTAAAAGAAGCGTAAATTTTTACATTATCGTTTGAAAATTAATTTTTTTTTTATTTATCTTAAATTTAACATAATTATTATCAATCGGGTTACAAGCTAGGTGAATTTTTTTTAAAATTTTGATTTTTATTGATTTTGAAAAAATTAGTATATAGTAAAAATAATTCATTATTTTTTTAAAATATAAGAAATACCTCAAAGGTAAATTTTTAAACTATTTGCTAAAAGTAAATTGTTTTTTTTATTATTATTTCAGTATATTTAAAATATACAAATATTTCTCACCGATTTCTGGAAGAGTTATCTCTTCAATGATATGTAAAGGTTCTCTCTCTAAATGGCTTTCCTCTATTTGTTTATAGGAGATGGAATAAGCTGTGTTCAAATTCAAGTTAATGTCATCATCTAGTGTCAAGGCGGGAATATTTAAAACGTTTGATGAATTTAACTCCACAGCCTAAAAATAATTCAAATGTTTCTATGAAATTCTGTACATTTTTTTTTTAAATTTTAAATGTCATTTTAAACCTATTTTTTGGTTCCATAAAAGATAATTTTAACAAAAATTTATAATAAAAAAAATTGAACTTTTTACCATAACTTTTTTAGCTAAACTTGTAAGTTTGATATGACATCATTAAATAAAATATTTTATGAACATTGACAAAATACTATTGCTAAGATTAATATACACTATTTACAGTAAATTTATGAATAAAGCTCCAAATTTCATTAAAATCACTAAATTTTGCTTTTTAATAGTAATCAATCATTTTAATAAAAATCATAGTAATTATTTCTATGTAACTCATGGTGTTTATAAAGTTTCTACAATTGAAATATTCAGAACTTAATTAATTTTAATAATTACCATTAACTAAAAAACCCAATCAAAAAGTTGTATAAAAATCTACTCAATCGAGTGTATTATAAAATTGATTATAATTGATATCCATTGTTAAATTCAGGTGAAACCCAAATTCATTTTTCTAGAAATAATTTATACAGTAACATGTTACAAAAAAAATTGAAATATTATAAACTGGTAGTAAAAATCAAATAGAATTTAAGAAATTGATATATAACTAATATTACATAACAGTTAGTGTTTAGAATTGGAAATGGAAACATTTTTTCAAAAATACGTATCTTCGATTATTTTAGTAATTTTTTTTGTGGCTTTTTGAGTTAAATAGTTTTAATATTTTTTAGTTTTATTTTAATAATATTTTCTATATAGTTTTAATTTGAAGTAAAATTATTTAACTTTGTAATCGAAACCTACTATCATGTCAAATCTAATTCGACAATATACAATATATAAATATTAGAAATTAATGATTTTCGTTGTCTGTATGGAGAAAGTTAATCAAGCAACTTTTTATTTGATAAAGAGGAAATTTATTTCAACTTTTGAGGGTAATACTTTTAATTAAATATTAGTAGTGATCATTTGATGTATTGTAGAAAAAAATTGGTCAAGTGAGAGCTAAGAAAAATAAAGAATAAAATATATAATAAAATAATTTTATTGTGATTAAGAAATACCTTCTCGCAAGGAGAAACTACAGTGATGGGGTCCTTGATATTCATTAAAGTTATTAAATCTAAATGAGATAAAAATTAAACAAATTTAAAATTTTTTTCCAACTCAAAAATGAAAAAATATCATGTCGACGGGCGTGGTCTGAATTTAGTACCCTCACATGACATAATTTAGTGTTACTGACGTGGCAATCGTACAACACATTTATCGATATTAAAAAAGCAAAACAATTAAAATAAGTTTTAACTTTATATTCAATGTAAGTTAGATTCATATAATTTTTTTGAAAATCAGTGGTTACAAAATAATGACTCTATTATTTTAGGTATTTGTAACAGTCATAATATTTAACGTAGCGTAAGGAAAGTGGCGTTACTTTTGACCAGTGCATACTAATAGCCTCACCATTACATTATTAGAAAGTTTTTGTTATAATGTGAAGCAGCAAAATCTTCTTATTAGGACCTAATTCTATATTTTAGCGTTTTAAAATTTCGATTTGGTATAGACATAATACTTGTCCTCTTTCAACATTAATACTTCATGACTACACTAGTGTCTTATCAGCACAAATGTACTTTCAACTTAACTAACCCAAGTTCGCACGACATTTCACGTTTACTAGTGTACGATCCAGTAAAAAATATATATTATCCACCAAATTCTAATAGTCCGGCTATAAAGCGGATAGCTTCCCTATGTGCATACGTTGACTTTAATATCTATACGGATACAATTATAATTGTATTCGTATGGATATTAAAGTTAATAATAATAAAGTTAATAATTAGTTAATAATAAATAATTATTGATGAAAATACAACATAACAATAAGAGATCTCTGTGATGTCTAAATACAATTTTTCAAATTGTCCAGACGTAGCCAAAATTACTAATTTATGATCTATGTCTGCGACTTTGCTTAGTTTTCATTATCTCATTGAGGTCACAAACATAAAGTCTAATTATATTATAAAAATAGATATTGAAAAAATTTCCACACTAAGTCACTATGAAGTTACAGAGGTCACAAATGAGATCTAAATATTGTTCTTATCATAGCTGAACGACGACGATACGTGTGTAGGTATGACTGACTTCAGACTCTCATGGACTTGTTGCTATATTCTTTAACGCGCGTCTTAAGCAAGTGCTCTATAAGCCATTACTGTTTCTCTACGCACTACGTGTAAACATTATGTCTATAAATTGTAGTAAATAGCTGAAAAGGTATCAAATAAACTTCCGTATTAGTATAGTATAACACTGTAGTAAGCAATTATATATTCTTAAGTAAAATAATAATGTCACAAAAAGAGAAAATACAGGGTAAGCCAGTTAAAAATGGCGGGAACAAGAATTTATAAAGGGAAACGAGAAAAGTAATAAGAGGATACACGTTTCTAATAATAAGAAATTATGACTAATAAGTCATTACACATTTGGCTGTATTAAAGTTAGCGTATTTAATGGACTTTACTTAAAACAATGTAACCCGACAAATGACAAACCGAATAAGTACTTCTTTTTTGATTAATTAGGAAAAATACAGTGATCGATTTATCATAAACTACGCGATTACTTGCAAAATAAATACAATATTAGAAAACCATTTTTGATTTCTTTTTGTTACATATATTTCTTTATTTACTAGTTAATAATGACTTTTTAGAATCGTCCCTTGTAACGTAATGGGGTATCAACTTTATTTTTTAAATGGCAATATACATATTTAACTAGTTTATAAAATACGAAATAATCTAATTAAGAAAATGACTGATCGATAACAACTTATTTTGGAAGTTATTAAAAATTTTAAGTAATGACTAGAGATGAAGAGTAGATGCTGCTATTATTATCATTAGCCATTTCCCGGCCGTACTTTTCGTCCTGCTTATATAATAACTTCAGAAAGTGCTGGTCCAAAATTTTTTATCGACCAGTCATTCTCTTAATTAGATTATTTTCTATTTTATAAGTTAGTTAAATATATATGTTGCTATCTAAAAAAATAAAGTTGACATCCTATTATAAGAGGTGTTAATTTTATTTTCATTTATTATCATCATTTAAAGATTTAGTAAAAATGAGGAGCGGCATAATATTTAGCGACTTTCTACTTTTAAAATTATGCATAGATAACCATTTTTCCACGTTGCGCACCCCACTTATCTATAATTATAAGTTATATTCAAACAAAAAGTAATAATACAATATAGGTTGCCACTAGTCATCTTTTTTTAGACCAATTTCCAAAAAAATAATTGGTTTCCATGTAACTTTTGAAAATTACCCCTAAATTAAATTTTAGAATAAATTGTATTTTATAATAAAAACAATATATACTATAATTTATTAAAATAAATCAAATTTTAATTTGTATATTTTTGTGAAAAAATCATTATTTATCAAAAAAATGGGATAAAGTACACTTAATAAATCACACTATTTATAATGTATATATCCATATAATACATAATAAATTATTTATGTTATAAATAACATATATATATATATAATACATAATACATTATTTATAACATAAATAAATAGTAATATGATTACTTTTATTTCTATATTTGTGGTAAAATATTATTTTGAAGATTTAAGTTTTTAATAAATATAATTTAATTAAATAATCTCTTAATTAGCTAGTTCTAATGTTCTATATTTCTTACTGTATGTTTTATTTTATTAAGTGGGGAATTGTATTTTTTGCGTCGGAAAATAAATATTCCATAGTACCAGTTAAATGAAATATTTACTGTGGAAAAATGTATTTTTGTATTTAGCCAAAAAAAAAAGGAAATATCAATAACGTGATTTTATTGAACTAGAGAATGATTAGCCCACATATCCTATCACGGTAGTATCTCAGTATTTTGGTTAGTATTAAGGTTTGTGATAATTTTTAAAAATTCAAGTTAATTTGTGCAAGATGATTATCCTGAAGCTTTTATAAAAGAGAAATAAATATTTACATCTTCAGACACTACACCAATCAAAATAAAAAGACCAAACAGAGTGTAGCTATTGATGATAGCCCTAGTGGTAAGTTTACTAACTTTGTGGGATAGTTTTATTTTTTACACTTTCTTGCACTTGAGCAATATGCCAAGATTTTCTTAAGTGGTTTTAAATGTATAGAGAAATATTAATATTTTACTAGTATTGATATTATTATAGGATAGAAAAGGTCCTCGATTACAGGTGATTTATTCAATATTATTAAATGAAAACTTTTCTATGGTCATCAGATAAAATTTTTAGGACTCTTTAGCGGGTAAAAATTACATATCCTTATTAGACGCATCAAGCGGTTATCAGTTTAAACTTTCCAAAGATTCGAAATAGTATATAGCTTTTTTTACAGACACGGATCATTCTCAATTTAAAAGAATATCAATGGACCTCACAACACAAAAGCTATCTGTCAATCCACAACGTGTAAAATTATGGAAGGCTTTAATTACAAAAATAATATGTTACATTAGTGTGATTATTAGCAAAACTCTTCATGATTCATTAAATGCACTTAAATTTACATTACGAAGATTCTCATACTGCAACCTTAAATTAATACTATTGTTGACAATGTTTTGCCCAGGCGGATAAAATGGACGGACAAGATTAGATACAATATACCCTAGACAAATTTTTATTTTAGTTGGATAAAATGGACAAAATTATTGGCGTGTAAGCGGCATAATTAATCGTACTAAATCGAACGCTCACGTTTTGTATAATTTTTATGATATATATAATTTTGAAATATAATTATCATTAAATTTATATTAAATATGAGTAATTATTATAAAATGTTGGTTTTTTTTTTTTATAATTAAACCTTAAAAACATTAACATAATTGTACTTAAGAGCGCGTCGCTGACTGTTCAGCTATGGGACGTAC